ATATATATATATATATATATATATATTTGTTCACATAAATATATATAAATAAATATATACATATGTATTTGACCGAATTATATCTAATTTTTTTGTTCCATATATCCATTTGCACTTAATTACTGCATTCCAATAGCAGTTTTACGCTGCATTTTTTATGCCTTTATAGTTTTTATACCTTTCAATTAGCCTTTACAATTAACGGGTCTTTTCCACTCTTTATAATGGGTATCTAACTGCACTTGTAATTCCACAAACTCTGTTACGAAATGCACACTCACAAAATACTGCGAAAACTTGGCGCGAGGATTAAACAATTGACGTTCTGAGTTGAAATGCCCCAAGCAAACTTGCGAAGAGTAGCGTATGAATTTGGAAAAGCCCATAGATACCTAAAGAAATAAGTGACTGAGCCTCATTTTGCATTAGGATGTTTTTTCAGTTTATACGATCGTGATGAACAAATTTGCTAATCATAAAATGATAGGTTTGTTCAAATTTTTAACAATGATGCAGTTTTTTTGCAAAAATCCTACTAATTCTTAGAAGCAAGACTTTACATTTGCCAGTATTTTTAATTTTCTTAATGCCACTTTCAACTCATCCGTAATTACAATCAGCCATTTCCATGAAACTGAAAATGAAACTTCTGCAGTCTAGAGGCCCTCGACGTTAAACACCGTGCCTCAGTAAGGCACATGTTCATGCCACGAGGCAGTAATTTCACCACTGGTTTGCCTAGTAGCGGTCATGGGGGAAAAGAAGAAGAATGTTCGCCGTATCGAGATGAAATATGCGAATTTATGAGTTAAAAGCAAAGAATTTAGCCAAAAGCTGTCTCTATCTGTTGACGGCTTCTGCACCATTTTACAAAGGGGGGATTACAGTGCTTCCGTCTTAAATGGTCAGTAGGCGCCTCCATCAAAAGGGTTTTACCGGGTTATTAGCTCAAACAGGTTCGATTTATGACGGTCAGGCTAAGTGACGTCCGCGTACTGCTGTTCATATATTGGGGCTGCTATCTCAGCTATAGTGCATGAAGTCGTAAAAGACTTTTTTTTTGAAAAAGTTCTGCAAACTCACTTTTTCGGCCAATGCGACATTTTTTCAACCCTAGTGTTCAATGCGTACTAAAACAGGAAGACATCTTTATTCAGTATGACGGACGGTATTGCAAATTATGCAAGTTTGCATGATAGCCAATGTCAGGCAAAATAATACAAGTTTGTAACAAAAAGTGGATAAAAACCAATGTAAAAAAAACGATTTTTTTAAAAGGAGAACGAGACCGTTTTCCTACCACAACGGCTTGCTTATCGTATAGCTGTAAACACTTTGAACTGCCTTAGGATTTTGCACACGAAGCATGGATTAATTTTTTAATGCAGCTGAAACCCCCAAAAAATTTTTTGTCAGAAAAAAATATCCAGACAGGTGCGGCAAATGAAATTGCCAAATGTTGTATGAATGGTGACGAAATAGTTCGTGAGGGCATGCAGAGGTCAAGTAAATTATACGTAAAGGAATAAATAAAGAGCAGGTGCTACTGCTACTACAGCACTCAAATGTCTCTATCTTTCTCATTCTTTTCGATAAATAATAAAACGGCTGAGAATGGGGCAATGACGACAATGCATTGCACTGGTAGTGGTACTCGGAGGGCCAATTATGCTTATCGAGCAACAGAGCAATTAATCGGCATATAATGTATATACATTTGACTAGCAAACACTCAGCACTACAATTTCTGCAATAAATTGTTACACATTACTCATCTTAATCTTTTTTTTTTTTTTTTTGTGGCGATAAGGATCATATTCGTGACGGTGCGTATTCAGAACATGTGTTTTTTGCAGTTAGATTCTAAGAAACAATAACCGTAGTAGTAAATGTGGACGATCTTTTTTGGGATTTTGCAAGGCTAGAGAGGATTTTAAAATTAGAGAAAAAGTATTAGAAGTAGTATATATAACTTACCGCCCTTAATTACGCGCTGCGCAATAGAATCAGCATTAAAATTTTCTGGACACAGCTTGCTTTGCTCAAGATAACCAACAAGAATTAGTGCAGAGCAAATTGAAGGTCTCTGAATCTCTTTACCTTTGAAGATGAACTATCTGTCGAGGCAAAAAAGAAGACAAACATATACTCTGACAAAAAAAGAATCGCTTAAAAACACAAATTTATGCAAAAAGGTATAAAATCGCTTAGAAGCTCCAGAATGATGCAAGCTAAGCGTTGGAAATTTCGTACTTTAATGAGCTACTGGAGGAAGCTCGAAATGAGATCTTAATTTAGAACGAATTATAACATCTGAAAGGAGCAAGTCATTAGTTTGCTGTTGGTTAATTTACAGTTACCAAGATTATCACTATGCGGCACAGATACATTTTGGTTGTTTCGCACACCCGTCTACCATAAGTTCTGAATAACTGGTCGCAAGACGCCATTATTTGTCCCAACTCACTATTTATTAAAAATTTATATGAATAAAAAAAAAATCAGAAATAAGATTCTTTTTCTTATCAGGAAATAAGATTCTTTTTCTTATCAGAAATAAGATTCCTTCATAAAGCTGTGCTAGACTTGCGTTTTTTGCTGTTTTTCTACAATAACTAGGGCACTTAAAGCACGTCACGCTTTCTGGGGGAGAGACAAGCTCATTCCTCTTTTTGGAAAGAAATGAGCGCAGTGGTAGGAGGAAATGAAAAAGTGCTGTCTTCTCCAAAAATTAATACTGGTTTAACACTTTTACTCGCTATTCATGGGCTCTATTGTAGAAATGTAAATTGATAAAAAGAATTCTCAGTTGCCTTGTAAGAATTTTCAACTGAAACTGTATATGAAAGAATTTTAGCTACGCTACTTTCACAGTCCAACTGCCAGCTCTGTGCATGTGTACTGAACTTGGGCAAATGCAAAAAAAGTGTAACATTTAAATGTGGCTGCCACAACTGCATTTACAACAATAAAAGAGGAACAAAATCAATGAGGTTCAAAATATAATGAAAAGTGAGACCGCGAAGACGTAAGAAAATATTAGCTAAAAAAGTGAACGAGCTCTTCACTGAATGCAGAACGAGATCCTAAACAACAAAATTACGAAAAAACACGCTTTACTTAGCTCATAAAAAATATTATTACTGGAAACAAGAAGAGGTAGGTTAGTAACAATTTACCGTTTAAAACAAAGTACAAAAAACAAACATGCAAATTCAATGCAGCATAAAAAGCAGAATTCCCAAATATTAATATTTTGGGCACTCTCAATATTATTAAAGCACTCACTGTTGCTTATTCATTTAGTTTGTTTTCAAATGAAAGCTCTAATTTTCACAAAAAAAAAAGAAATTTCATGAATGCTGCAATAATTGGTGTAGTGGATTTTCATCACGGCTAACCGCTAGATTATGTGAAAGGCGATCGTTCTTGCTCGGGCAATGTCTGGAATGTTGTCTGAGGGCTTTTCTTGTGCCAAATGATGCGGAGCATAAAGCGCATGAGAAGATGTGCGGAAAAGCCGATACTGTTGTCTTCATTGAGCTTGATGCTGTTGATAGTGCCGATGACGATGACGATGACACTGCGTCACACGCACGAGGCTTATGCCAACGGCGATGCGACGCGAGATTTGCCGGACAGCTGAATACCTGTAAAATGTTACGTTGTATCAGCAAACTGATTATAGCATCACACGCTTATGCCAATCACATATAGGAAATGCCATAGTTTTTAAAAAGAGCAAAAATTTAAATTGTTTTAGCTGTACTTGTATGCCAGTTTGATGCCGTCCACATTCAAGTAAATCATTTTCCCACGACGTGCTTGGTAATTCTGAGGTTTCTTATTAAAAATCCAGGCTGGAACGCACCGGGAAAGCCGGTGCGATCATGCGTTTTTGCAACAAACTTGAAGTAATTAGGTTAACAGCATGAACGGTTGTTTCTTCGCACCTACCTTATGTGCTGAATACCGCAAATCATCGTAAATTTTGTACAAAAAGAAATAAACAATTTCCGTTTAGCGGCCGTCTTTATATGAAAATGACTGAGCTGTTCAATGAGTAATTTTCCGGCCAAAAATTTAAGTGCCCGTACACAATAACCACGCGTACAAGGAGGCTGAATTTGAAACCTTTCAGTTGCATTTTTACGGGGAATATTCTCCTAAAATCTCAGCTTCGCAGTTTTTCTGGTTTCCGAGTTACCCATTTTTCCGCCAAAAAAGCTTCACGGGATCGTAACTGAGAACCACGTACAATTGGAGGCTGAATTTGATAGATTTATGTTGTTCTTGTGCTAGGAACATTCCTTGAAAACTTCAGCCTTCCAGCTTTCCTGGCCCTCAAGTTAGCCATTTTCCCGCCAAAAAAGTTTCATGGAGCCTTACGTGAGAACTGCGCATGCCTGGAGGCTGAATTTGATAATTCTAAGTCGTACGTAGGCTGGGAACATCGACTGAAAATTTTAGCCTTCCAGCTTTGCTAGTCCCCGAGTTAGCCATTTTCCCGCCAGAAGATTTCACGAGGCTGTATGCTGGAACCAAGCACACCTGGGGGCTTAATCTGAAACCTTCGAGTTGTATGTGGACGGGGAACATAACCTCAAAATTTCAGCTTCCTATCTTTTCTCGTTCCCGAGTTATCAATTTTCCCGCCAAAACTTTCGCCACCTCGCACGCGGGGCCCAGACTTGCATAAGGGTTGATACCGCGGTTCTGGGATGGCACTTGGCCAGGAAACCTACTAGCAGAATCTTCGCAATGGAACTTGCTTGGTTGCCGAGTTAAAATACCTGCACAAACGAACCCACACAAAAACATAAACACACACATACATCCACATACACACAGACAGAGTCGACGCAATATGCGTTTTTGCAATTTGCATATAGGCAAAAACGCATAATGAGACTTTCGCTTTTTATGCGTTTTTGCATATATGCAAATTGCAAAAACGCATATTGGGAAGAGGCTGTCTGT